TTTTTCGAAAAAAATTTTTTTGTTTAATCCTTTCATTAAAAAAAAAAAAACTTCTTTTTTTTTTTTTTTTTTTTTTTTTTTAAATTACTTTTATTAAAGTTTCTCTCTATCTCTCTCTTTTTTAATTGAATTCAACTACTGTTAATTTTAAAATAATAATATTTAAAAAAAAGAGAGAGAGTGTGTGTAAAAGAGGAGGAAAAACGTTATTTATAATTGTTTGAGTAATACTTTTAAAATCGAATGTTAAAAATAATTTGTTTTTACTAAAAACCGTTATAACCTTATAAAAAAACATAAACTTACTCAAAAATTAATAAAGTAAGAGAAATAATAATTAAAATAAACTTACCTTTGTAAAATGGCTGAGAAAACAATGGACGACGACGACTCCTAATTTATTTACGTGTGATAAAATCCAACCCAAAAAAAAATTTTTTTTAGTATATAATATTTTTAAAAAATTATTACTTAACACATCTGGTACGATAGAAAAACAAAAAAAAAGAAGGTTAAGAAAACAGATTTGTCGGTTTGTTTATCTTAATCTTTATTAGTCATTTTTTATTTAAATTATTATTTTCATTTACGCCTCATTACACGCGAATACTTAATTAACAAAAGTGACAAACGAAAAAATTTTAAAATAAACGATACGTCAAAGCCGCAGACGAATTTTTATTTTTAATAAGGTACGAATTTCTTATTAGTTAATTATTTTCACTTTTAAAAATAAAATAAAAGAAAAAAAACGAAACAAAACAAAAACGACGGTTATTATATTAATTTGTGGTTAGTAATAACGCGGTAAACGACAATACAGTAAACAATGAATGTAGGAAACGCAACGTTTTTTTTTAATTGTTGCCAAAATGAAATTTAAGGTGGTCACACTGATAAATAAATCGTTATGATTTTTTAAACAAAATGGAACGAATCTTTACGTTATCGATCACTTTTTTTGTTTTTAACGTTTTTTTTAATGTTTTAAACGATTTTGAAGAAAACTTTTGGATTTTATTTGACACGTAAGCGTTAATTTATATTATTTTAATAATTAATTACTAAAATATGTTTTATTTAATCGTAATTTTTAATTATATAAATCGGCAAACTACGTGTGCACGGTTTAAAAGAAAAAAAAACAATAAAAATCAATTATTATTATTATTTCTCTTGGTTATTTGTATTAAAAAGAAATGGGTTTTAGTCAATTTAAATAAATTAAAAGCGGAATAAATAAATTTTAAAGTTAATAAATACATTTGAATTCGCGACCGCCATGGGTTTGTGTTTAAAACAAAAGATTTTCAATTTCGTTGGATTTTCCATTTACTAAAAGCGTTTTCTTTTTAGTTTTAATTTTTTCTTTTCTTTTTTTTTTTTTATTACTTTCTTCCTTTTCTTTTTTTTTTCATTAATGAATTCACGTAAAAGTTAATCTCAGACTTGGAAACAGTTAATTGAAGAGTTAATATATGTATATATATATATACAAAGAACTCTCTCTCTCTCTCTCTCTCTCTTTTTTTGTTGCAAAGTTGTAGTAACGTTGTTTTATAAAAATGGATGGGGAAAATGAGGAGAAAAGAAATATGGTAGTGGTGAGAGATTGAAAATTTTCCGTTGAGAAAAGAAAGGTTTTTAAGGGAAGGGGATTCTTTCGTTTACATCTCGAACATTCTCCACCCCCTGCCTCCCGCTCTCCCCATTCCCCCTTCCCCCACCACGCCTCAACCTTTTCATCTTTTCAAGCCTTCCCAACTTAATTTTCTTTAACTCTCAAAGAGAGAAAACGGTTTATGCGCTTTTACAACGAATTTATAATTAAACTTACTTATACATAATGAAAATTTTGGTCTTCATTTATTTACTTTCTTTTTCTGTTAATTTTTTAATTATAAATTAATTTTCTTTTATTTTATTTTCTCTTCCTGTTGTTCCTGTCGTATTTCTGTTGTTGTTGTTGTCGTGGCTGTTTGAATGTTGTAAGGAATTAATAATCTTTTCGATTTAAATAATAAAAGAATTATTTATATACAAATTAATATACATAATAATATTAATAAGAATATTTATCATTGCACATACAATAAAAATAAAATAATATTAATAATAAAAATAATGATAATGATAATGATAAAAATAAATATTTTGGATTCTGGCAATATAATATTTAACACGTCTCCTAATTTTCTAAATAATATTATTATTATTTTGGTACGTAAAATAATGATAATTGCCATAATCTCAAACGATTTATATATAAATTTATAGTTATACTAAAATTTATTTTTAAAATAAACATTCATTCAATCAATCAATCAATCATTCATTGTTTTTTCTTAATTTTGTGTTGGGTTTACCGGAAAAAAAATGAGAAAAATGAAAATACAATTTAAAATTATTAATAAAAATGTACGCCATATTTAATTTTGATTTTTACGTGACGTAACGTGACGTGGCAGTAGTAAAACCGTTAATTTTTTTTTTTTTTTTTTCAAATTTAATTTTAAAACTTTAGAAAAAATATTAAAAAGTAGAAGAAAATGATGATGATGATGATGATGATGAAAAGAAAATAAAGAAATTTCCATAAAAATTCAATTAAAATAATAATAATGATAATAATAATAATTTTTATGAATACAATACGAGAATAATTTTACTCCTGCCACGTCGGTTGTTTTATTAAATTTAATAATAATCGTAATAATTTTTTTTCAATTTAATACCGGAAATAAATCATTAATTATTATCATTATCATTATCATTATTATTATTAGTATTATTACAATTTTTTTTTATTACACAATTTTCTGCGTGATTAATTAACTTTTTTTATTCATAAAATTATATATTTTTTTAATTACCTTCTAATTAAATAAATAAATAAATCCAAACTAATCGAAATGGATCGATAGATCGATCGAGTGATCGATAATTTATCGAAAAAAACTATTTATTTATTATTTTTAACTCGTTCTCAGGATTTTTTTTTCTATTCGTCACCCGCGAAACAACCTTTTTCCACACGCACGTATAACACGAAACATTTAAAAAGGAAAACACGCGCACTCACGCACTTTTTTTAAACGCACTTTCGTCCCCGAAAATTCAATTTCGTATATATTAAACCACACACGCGAAAGGAATCGTTTTAATTATTTTCAAAACCAATAAAGATCTTTTGATGCTTCTTGAACTTGAGCATCCAATCCTTTAAAAAACAAAAAAAAAATTTTATTAAAAAAAAAAAACAAAAAATCTTTTCTTAATACGCTCCTGACGGGTTTAATAAAAAAAAAACAATTTTTTTTTTTTTTTTTTTTTTTATTATCAAGAAATGCATTTTCACGAGCCCAGTGTTTTTTGTTTAAGGGAAATTCCAAAGTCATATTTTCTCTCGTTATAACAAATTGACCGTGACGTAAGTTAAACGTGGGCGTTTTTAAAAACTAGCTATAGGTTACGTTTCAAAAAGTGTTATGTGTAATTTAAGAGAGGGTAACAAAAAATGTTTTTCTTTTTCGTTTATATTATTATTATGATTATTATTATTATTAATTTTTTTTTACTTGAAATTTGTAAATTTTTAAAAATTTTCTCCTCGGGAGAAAGAGAGAGAGAGAAAAAAAATCATTTTCCGTCGTTTAAAAATTAATTAACAAAATAAAATTCCTAATAAATAAAGAAAAGAAAAGAACTCAACTCGAAATTTATTATCATTATCATTATTATCATTATCATTATTATTATTATTATTATTATTATTATTATCATTATTATCATTATTATTATTATTATTATTTAAAATCTCTTAAAATTAATAATAATTTTTTTTTTTATAAAATTATTATATAAAAAAGATTTTTCTCAGAAGGTTTTTCTTTCTTTAAACAAAAAAACGCGCTTCGAATTAAAAACAAATAATAATAATAATAATAATAATAATAATGATGATGATAACTTTTCGGTGGACTTAACAAAAGGAAAAGTAGAAAAGGAAAAACCTTTGAGAGTTCAAACGAATTCATGAAGAGGAAATAAAAAAAAAAAAAAAAAAACAATCGAAATAAAAGAAAGAAAGAAAGATGAAGAGAAAGATAGATAGATGAATGGATGGATGGGAAAAAAAAAGAAAAAAGAAAACCAAGAGTTTTACAGTCAGACATATTGTATTCGAATATAATTTGTTGGCTGTTACCATGGTAACAAAAATGACCGGAAATGACGGGTCGTGAAAATAAAAAAAAAAGAAAAAGAGAAAGAAAGAGTGAGAGAGATAAACAACATAACCGGACCTTTTTTTCTCGATCAATCAACTTTTTTCTCGAACCTTTTTTTTGTTTTTTTTATATTAATTTCTTCCTTCTTCAGATCTTTCTAGAAATTTTCTTTCGATTGATTTCTTTTTTTTTTTTTTTTTTTAAATGGCGAATGTATAGGGAAATTGATAGCAAATCCTAACGCGTTTGATGCCGTCAAAAGAAAATCGTTTTTATTATTATCATTATTATTAATTTTCCGCCACTTTTTCCGCTGTTGTTCGCTGTTGTTAAAAACCGTACGTAACCGACCACCCCAACTAATATTTAGAAAACTAATAAAAAACAATAAAAAGCAATTCACTTGTCGAGTGTTAGGAAAATCCTTTGTTTGATTTTTAATAAAATGTTCACAATGTCAAAGGGGAAACGATTATTGTCTGGTCGCGTGCATTTATTACTGACAAGATATATAAGGTTAGTATATATATATATATTAAGAGGGTCCCGAACATTTAAAAAGTCGAAAAAAAAAAAAAAAAAATTAATGAATGGATGCCTACGTGATGGATCATGTACTCCCCCACCCCCACTCTCCATTGAAAATATTGAATTTTACAAATTTTCATTACATGTGCCCTTCCCTTCCCTTCCTTCTCTCCCCCCCCCACTCTCCCACACTCCCCCACACTTATTCTTTTATCAGTGTGTGTGTAAAGAGAAGTATGACGTTTACGATGATGATGATAATGATTTGATAAACTTACCAGACATTCCAGGATACGTTGAATAAGCAGATTCGAAATGAGTGTGAGAATGTGCGGATTCGTGTAATCTTGTCGTGTGATGAGACGATGTCCAAGCATCTTTACCATATTGCGGTGCAAGACTAGCTCTAGGTAGTAAAAGACCAGAATATTGTGCCACCGTGTTGTGATGATGATGATGATAATCGTGTACGGCCCTATTAATTATAACAATTTTTTTATTCGAGCGATATCGACAACATTCGAGAGAGAGAGAGAGAGAGAGAGATATGGCACGTACCTGTGATGATGTGCTGCTGTCGTGTATTGTTGATAATGCGTGTGCCACGGATCGACTCCAGCAGCGTGTTGATATTCGCTATAAAGTTCTCCGTGATGTGATACCGATACCGTCGGACTTTGATAATTGCTACTCCAAAAAGATGGCGGAAAATTTCTAGACGACATTGGTGACGAATCTTTAACAACAACAACAAAAATTATTTACGAATTATGACGTCATTTATTTATTATTATTATCATCATTCTACTAAAAATAAATCAATAAAAATTTATTATAACTCGGCATAAAACGGATTTTCGTTATTGTAAAAAAAAAAAAAAAAAAAATTATAAATGGCGTATGAAAATATTTAAAAAGGGGAGGATTTTATTAATTATTATTATTATTATTTTTTGACAAAAGAGTCGAAAAACACATTCGAAGTATTTTCGAAACCTCACACCCCCTTTTCCCCTCCCCCTTCCCCTCACAGAAATTATTTAAAGTAATAAATAATTTTACGAATATTATAATTATAAATATTTCATTTCCATCGTTTTTCCGACTTTTCTCCGACGTTCGTGCGTGTGTGCGTGCGTGCGTGTTAAAAACAAACGGGAAAATATAAAATAATAATAATGAAATTAAAAAAAAAAAAGGAAATTTTTTTTTGGAATTTTAAAACACGGATTCGTTCACATTTTATATGGCATTTAAAGAATTTTATTGTCGCCATATTGTTTTTTATTATTATTATTATTATTTTATATTTTAAAAAAATTATGTTTTTTATGTTTTGCTCTATGACTTAACGACTTTTAAATATATATAGGCACGCACACAAACACGCGTTCCAGTTTTAAAAAAAAATTTTAATTATAAAATATATATGTGTGTAACCTTTTGAACCGGAGGAACTTTTTTCGGAATAGTTAAGAGCACGTGTAAAATGTTCATCAACAACGGCAGCAACATCTCCTGTATAATGTGTAAAAACAACGCAATTTGCGGATACGTATTGAGCTCTGGAACTACTGGAACCCTCGTCATCCGAACCGCCATCTTCAATATCACCTGGAAAAAAAAAAAAAATGCCACCACCATCATCACCACCACGAAAAAGATATTTCCATCGTGGGAATTTTTTACAACGAAAAAAGAAATTTCACCTTCCGATGTAGAATTTCGTATATTTTCTTCTTTATACCTAACTCCTGGAGAACCTGGAGAATTACACGGACCGGAACTTCCGACGGATCCAGCACTTGATTGTTGACTGTGACCGTGATGTGAAACGTATCCGGTATCACCGCTAAGATTTGTCGTTGTTAAATTTGTATGTACGTGATCTTGAAAACTTCTCTGAACGTTTAGCTGGAAAAAAGGAAGAAGAAAAACAAAATGGCGTCGGTTCGGCAAAACGATTAATCAACCGCGCACTTACGTCGATTAACTTCATTTTAAAAAAATTTACTTATCGTTAATTAATCAAACTCGATCTGTGAAATCGACCATTTTTATTACGGAAAACAAAACATATTTAATAACCGCCATATTATTATTATTATCTCCGTCCCCCACTCTCTCTCTCTCTCTCTATTACTTTAATAGACGGGGTGGTAAATTAAAACGATTTTTTTTTTGCGCTTATCCGCTCCGAAGTTACAAAAAAAAATGAAAGAAAATCTTAAGGAAAAGTGTGTTCAGCGAACCGGAAATTCGACTAATGAGATAAATTGAGAAACTTTTCTTTTAATATTACACTACTCGAGTATATTATTATCGATAATTTTATCGGTATGAGAATCAAAGTATTATATTTATGTATACCGAAACGATTCCCCCCCTTTTCCCTTCTCCCCTTTCCCGACGGCAGGAACAACAACAACAAACGGCTCCTTTTAAAAAAAAAAAAAATAATAACAATCGAATCGTTTAAACGGATACTGATTTGACTAGTTTTTTTTTTCCCCCCCGTTCATTTTTCGTTAGGGTAAATTTGGCAACAGTTCAAAAAATTGTAAAAAAAAAAAAAAAATGTCTGACACAAGGCCAAACCGCATTATGAATAAGAAAAGTTATAAGAAGAAGAACACGAAAAATCGACCCTTGATAATATATCTTTTTGGTAAAGGAAAGGAAAACGAGGAGACAATAGATTGTCTCTATCTCTCTCTCTCTCTCTCTTTTTTTGAATTTATTATAATCGGTTCTCTCTTATATATATATTTTAAATATAGAACAATTGTAAATCACCGTTTATTTGACAAGGTGCGTGTTTTGTGCGTGTTTTGTGCGTGTTCTTTTTTTTTCTCCTTTAAAACCCACGGAAAACCGAAGATAATTTTTTTTTGAAAAAAGTCAAAGCCATTGTTTCTCTTTCATCAAATTTATATTTTATTATTATTATTATTAATAATTTATTTTGAATCTTTTCATTTTCCAAAAAATTTCCCCTTCATATAAAAATAAAAATAAAAAAGATGAAAATTTATTATTATTATTATTATTATTATTATTATTATTAATATTAATTTTTTTTTGTATTGTTTTAATTATTTTTATTGAACGTCGTAAATTTATTTTAAAAAAAAAAATCTTAAACGATCGATCGAACGATACGATAAATTTTTTATCGATATATCGATCGATCGATCGATTATGTGGTGTGTGAGAGGAGAGAGAAAAATCAAAATGGCGAATTGTTTTTCTTCTTTATAACCGTTTCGTTTTTTTGTATTGACATTTAAATTATTATTATTATTATTTGAAATCAAGTTTTATTTATATGAAAATATGATGGTAATGATGATGATGATGATGATGATGATAATGATGATAATTTTTTTAACGGTTTAAGTGGTGCTTTAAAAAAATTTTTTTTTTTTTTACATTCGTAATTTATTAATTAAATTATAAATTATGAAAATTTAACCGACCGTAAAAAATTATCATTATTATCATTATTATCATTATTATTATTATTATTATTATTATTATTAAAAAAGAAAATTATGAGATTTACCGCCAAAAATTTCAAAAGAGGAGCGTTTGAAATTAAAAAAATTTTTTTAAAAAAAAGTCGATGATACTTAAGCGTTCCCTCCTCCCTCCTTCCTCCCTCTCTTCTTCCTCATCCCCTTTTCTTCCCTGCTCTTCCCTACCCCTTCATCTCACCTTTCCCCCCGTCGCTTCATTCGCACTCACACTCCTTTCCCACGTTTCCATAGAATGTTTAAAAAAAAAAAAATAAAATAAAAACAATAATGATTTATCAAATACGAAAAAAAAAAAAAAAATCTTCTGCTTCATTCCTTCCCCTCTCACCTCCACCTCACCGCCGCCGGTGCTGCCTCCACGTTCCACTCCTCCCCTCCCCGATCGAAAATAACAAAAAAAAAAAAAAAAAGGAGAAAATTATGGCTGTCGATTATCTGTCAAAATAAATTTTATTTTTAATACATCATCACATTTTCGATGTTTTCGAATTTGAAGCCCCCCCCCCTCTACCCAACGTCCCATACCTCCCTACCTCCCTCACCCCCAACCCCAAACACCCTCCCCTCACCTACCCCCCCCCCCCCGAAAAAAAAAAAAAAACAAAAATTCATGAATCATGAGCGAATGAATGATAAATTTCATCATCTACTTCTTCTTCTTCATCTTCTTCTCTTTTAATTTTTTATTGATTTCGATTATCGATTATTTAACAATTTCGATATATATCGATTATATCGTTTTATATTTAATTATTGATATTATTATATATAAAACGTTTGACGTTTTTTTTTTTTATTTAAATGATGAGTTTTTTAACGGTTTTTCTTTATTATTATTATTATTATTATTACGTAATAAGTAAATTTATTAGTAAGTTAATAAAAATAATAATAATAATAATATTAATAATATTTATTTTTATCGTAATTAAAGTAATAAAAAAAAAATTAAAAATTTTTGTAAACAAAAAAAAGGGCGGGGCGAAAACAAAAAGAGGAAACGAATGAAAAATTTAACCGGAAATCGAAACAGGTTGATGAAAAATTTAAACGAGAAATTGTTTGTTTTTTGTTTTTGAGGGGAGGGAGGGGGAGGGTAAATAAGAATCAAAAAAATAAAATAACGAAACCGATATGTTGTTGTTTTTGTTTTTGTTGTTGTTTGTTTTCGTTTGTTTTTGTTTATATTTATTCCTACCGAAAAAGAAAGAAACAAACAAACGGGAGAAAAAGTTTTTTAGTTTAGTTGATACAAACAGAAACGAAAAAAAAAAATGGAAGGAAAAGGTTGAAGAAATGTTTGGAATGCAGGTGGTGGTGGTGGTGGGGGGGGTAGTTTCGGAATTTAAGCTTTTTGCATTCCTTTAACCGC